TCGATCGAAATTTCGTCACGATAGAATTTTCCCTTGGCCAAAGCGGGGAAGCAGCGTATCTTCCGACAGTTTGATTAAGAGGCCACTTACCGAAGTTCCCTCGATGAAAAGGTGGCGAGCGTCAAAGGAAAAGTCGGCAAAAACACAACGGCGAAGCACAATCTCGTGAGATCATTTTTTTTTTTTTTTCGCCGCGTGGAAGCTGCTTCATCGGAGCCATTAGGCTCCCTGTGGCCGTGGAGTTAAGTGGAAGGTCGAATTAGAAGGAAAGGTCTCCGTTCTTCTAAGGTCGACAATCGAGAGAAAAATGTATTATACAACTGGATCGGAAGAAGAAAAGAGTAATGTGTATATTCCAGAAATTTCTTTAATATTTAATATCAAAAGTTCGAAGTGACGAGTAGTTTCTCGGAGAATCGGAAGAAAATGTAACTCGATTGAAGAAAGAAAAAAGTATTGCAGTTTCAGGACTTTTCTCTCTTTTTACGTGTTTTTTTTTTTTTTTGATTTAGGTGATTGATTCGGACTCGAACTGAAAAAGAAAGAACATATGTATGTACTTCAGGAAAAGAAGCTTGTTTCTTCTAGAAGAATTTTTCTTCCTTTTATATAAAAACTTTGGCACTTTTGAATAGGATCGATGGAAGATATGAGTTATTTCTTGTTCCTTTGGCACAGAACAGCGTCCTTAATTAAAATATGCCGAGTTAAATGATTCTACGAACTCTGAACGTTTATATAATTTTATTAACGTGTACACGGTAATAACTCTGGCTGGAAAAAAAATTCCCAGCTCTGTTTATAGTACATTAACGCTCGTTTGAAACGAGAGCTTCGAAAGCGATTGAAAAAAAAAAAAAAAAAAAAAAAAAAAAAAACGCGAACGTACGTGAGAAAAGACAAACGAAGGGTGAAAGTGAAGCTTCGAATGGAGAGAAATTAAATATCCAGAAAACGGATGAAATGAAAATTTTCCTGAGAAGGGGATCCATTCTCTATTAAAGTCTTTTGTCTATTAAAATTGTATTGAAATTACATCAAATCGTCAAACACAAATATTAAAGTGTGCCAAGTGTGTCAGTTTTCAAGTGACACGAATTATCGTGATTTTGCCAATTGAATTATTATATCAAAATATCTATT